AGGGTTTCTGTTATAAGGACTAAATTATCATGAAGGAAATTCTTAGTCTTCAATAGCAATGACAGAATGGTAGTTTATGAATGTATTTTTAAAGATCTTGGTATGAAATAGTGATGAGAAGGCATGGTATGCTCAGCATTAGCAATGTCATCTTGAGTGACCTGTATTAATGGAAATGTCCAGGCCAGAGATAGAGAAGCATGAACAAAGTAGTTACTTTTCTCTTGTTGCTGTGGCCTAAAACAGAAGAGGCTTATGTGGGGCCACAGTTCAGAAGAACATCACCCATTGTGTCTTGGAAAGCATGGCTCCAGACTGGCTTCCTATGGGTGGATCAGGAAACAAGAAGAGTGACAGAGACTGCCCAATTGTTGTGTTTTCTTTTTTCCCCTTTACAATCATTCCTGAATCCAGGCTAGGGATAGAACTGCCGCTACTCAGGGTGGGTCTTCCTTCCCCAGTTAAAACTTCCGGAAAAGCAGTAAAGGACATACCCCAAGGACCATCTCAGGAATGACCTAGCACTTCTTAACCCAAGAAAGTTGACAATAAAAATAAGCTCCTGTAAGCTCCTCAAAGTCATGCTATGTAGAAGACTGAGATATAGACAGTATTATTTAAACATCTTAGATGATAGCCCACAGGATAAAAAAAAATAGCTAAAAAATGTATATGTGTGTATAATTTTTTAAAAAATTACAAATCATCACTTATCCTAAAAAAAAACTGTCCTGAAACTTTCTACTTTCTGTTTTTCTCTTTTCTATTCATTTTTCCTTTCCTTAAGTATTGTCAACAGATTCTGAATTTATTCAAACCTCTAGGCCTTAATTCAAGATATTTGATAGGAAAGGGGCCTTTGTGATCATGTTATAGGATTATCTATAAATATACAACCCAATAACTTTAGAAGAGGTCATTTAAGAAAGGGTGAAAACAAAACAAAACACAGAAAATTAAGGGTTTCTTTGGGGATCACTGGTGGGATATGCAAAAAGCAATGGAATATAAACAAAGCTGGGAAAAAATTTCCAGAGGCTGGGAAAAATTAGGAAAGAAGAAAATGTTGCAAAAGATATATCAAAAAAAAAAAAAAACCTTTTCCCCCCAGTACTGTCTACCTGTTACAGCACTTTTCAGAAAGTGCAGTCAAAAGTCAGCTAAAACTGAATGACTGGGGATACTTGCTAAATATCTAAATACCTGGGCCACCCAGGATGTGGTAAATTCAATTTTCTCAACTTAGGAACTCAGATTGGCAACATAAATGCTCCCTGGGGAATCCTCCTCACCAGACATTTATCCTGATGCCTTTTACAGATAAGCATTGCAAGCATTGCTCTCCAGGAACAGTCTCACTTCCCAAGTAAGAGGTTTACCAGATAGCCTAACATCACATTATCATTATTGAATTTTGAAAATAGTCTCCCAAAGTTTTCCTAGCTGACTTTGATCCTGTTGTCTTTATACCTTAACCTGGGAGCTCTGATTACAGGGCTGTGATATGAGGCAGGATACAGATGCATAAAGTTATAATAAGACACTAACTAATTTCATTTTTACTTTAAACTGAACTGGTTAAACATAAAAGCCATAAAATCAAGTGGCATTTAAAGGGCAGAGGGTGGCATAGGAAGATGATCTCAGAAAAAAACAAAAACTGAAGTTTGTAGTTTGGGCTTGAACAGAAATATCTCAGTTTGTGGGTTTGTGGTGAGCTTTTCTAACAGAAAGTTAGATAACTTAGCACAAAGAGAAAACCAACAAGTATGGAATGTAAATTTATTCAAGGATGGGAAGAAGCTTGCTGCACTGGCACATAGCACTTAAGCTCCCAAATCATGACACAGAAACTTCCTTTTTAGTTATGAATGTTCGGCCTAGCTTAGGTTCACTTCTGGCTAGCTCTCTTAACTTAACCTGTTTCTCTTTATTTACCTTCTGCCTCAGGAATTTTACTTTTCTTTCCTTCTGTATTACTTACTTTTCTGCTTCCTCCAGTGTCTGGCTGGCTGGCAGTTGGCTGGCTTCTTGCCCCAGGCAGGCATATTCCCCTCTTTCTCCCTAGTTTTCTTCTCCTTCCTCTTCTCTTGTTCTTCTCCAGCCTAGATTTCTTTTCCTATTTTATTCTCTCTGCCCTGTCTATCCCTGTCCTGCCTATCTATTGGCCATGCAGCTTTTGATTAGACCAATCGGGTGCCTTACACAGGCAAGGTGAAATAGCAACCTATATTTTCATAATTGAACAAATGCAGAAAAAACAAATGTAGCACATCTTTGCCTAGTAAAAATAATATTCCACAACAGATGGTAGCCTAGGCTACATAATAAAACACTGTCTCCAAAAAAAAAAAAAAAAGAAAGAAAGAAAGAAAGAAAGAAAGAAAGAAAGAAAGAAAAAAGCGGCTGGAGGCAGGAGATGGTAGTGATGGCTCAGTAAGTAAAATAAAATCCCTGCCAGAAATGTGTGAGGGCCTGCGTTCAGGCAGGAGGATGCACACAGGTAATAGGAGGGCCCAGCTCACCACTGGCAGCCAAACTCTGGCTATTTGCTTCTAGAATGTGTACTCAATGAAGTTGTAAAAATTGAAAACATTACCTAGAAAGAAACGTTTCTTCATGTTCTCGGACTGTTTTATTCTGTTCTTTATAAAAAATATTTTTAAGATAATTTGGATTTATGTCATCACGGCTCATGCTTAACTACTACATCACATGCTAAAGTACTGGCAATAACAGGTACCCGAATTAGCCTAATGATGGTATTTAACTATCATACTTAAAACCAGAAAAATCCTTTTAAAAGATGGGTGCTATTCTATATGAAGAGGCAGCATCAGTTAAAGATGGGTGCTAGTCTACATGAAGAGGCAGCATCATTTGAAGCCCTCTGACAGGTTTCAATAGTTATTGTTAAACTAAAGATATTCTGTAGTTCAAGATTCTGTATTTCAATTCAGTTCCAAAGTGATACAAACCCTGCTGACAGCAAACCAGGAAGTGACATTTCTGATTGAGCCCATCTCTATTACTCTCACAAGCTATGTAAGCTTATTTCTAGCACCTCCACAACTAAAGGATTGCTCTCAAGATCACACAAGTGACCCCACAGGTTGTACTCTGAAGATTCTGTCACATACAGAAAGAACTCAATAAGTGCTATCCCTTGGTATTATTGAAAACTATTAAAAGCTATATTGTGTCCCATTAGAAAGCCAATTCTAAAATCAACTGATCTAACAGAAACACTAATATAATGCTATCATTCTTTTCCAAGCAGTCATTAGAACATCATTTTCATTGAAGGACATTAAACACATAAGTGAGATACAATTATGTGGCTTTATTAAACATATAAATCTGAACTTCTATGAATGGATTTGCATGAAGCTAGCCGAGTCTCAGCTATTTAAAGACCACACTTTATTTCTATGTCAGAAGATATCTTACAACAGGTATACAGTATGTTCCAATTCACTTATTTGAAAAACTCCCTTTAAATTTAAATAACCATATTTGCTTTAAAATTAAAATTACCTTTTTCTGTTTAAGGACTGAAGTTTGGAAAAAAAAATACCCTCAGCACTGTAGTGATTTAAGAATGATATGTGATATAAACTATGGATAAAAAATAGGAAAGTTAGGATGAAATAAACATAAAGCCTCAAGCTGAAAAATACCTCAGCATTTATCAGCAGACCCTTCTCCTCCCGCAGCGACTTGCTGCTTCATGTTTAGCACCAATATCCAATCACTAGGATTAGGAATACAAAAAGACCAGAGAGAACAGAATCATACCAACAACATATCTTATTTGGTTTCATGTTTTTCCAAATCAAATATATCTGCAAAACAAAACTCATGAAAATGCCTGAGCTAACTTTTTTACTTGACAAGGCAGGTATTAGCTGTCTCTCAAGTCCAAAAGCAAGAAACTTCACTTCAGTATGACCTACTTATGCCTCCGAGATTTATCAGATGCATTTTTTTAATGACCCCAAACCAAAGAATGTAGAAATCTATTTGAAAAGTTGACATTAAGGTTGTGACACCAACCAAAAAAAAAAACAAGAGAACTTGAAGTTAAACTGACAGAAATCCCCCCCACCAGTCTGCTTCCTTCCTTATTTACAAAGCAGGTGTTCTGGGAACTAGTGATGGCATGTCAAATGCTTCTTTGAAACTCCCCAAGTTTGTCATTTGGTGTTTGTGTCATAACCTTGATATTGTTTAAACATACTTTTAAATATCTATTATTTAAAAATATCTTGAAATTGAAGATATCCTAAAGCTTTGAAGAAGCCATCCTCAAAGCACTGCAATTCCTCATGTGCCACTTTTCTTAGAAGTAGTGCATTAAACATTTGCTGTTGACAAATCTAATTTATTAAAAGGTGAGACTGATGCATTTTAAAATCAATGGCTGCCATCATTATCTGCAGTGCTTTTATAAATTATTCCTCTTTTCTCTTTGACTGAACTTGTCAGGGTTCTCTCTCAGAGCCAGGGTGTTATGCCTTATAGTCAATGCTTTCAACATGTTTAGACAAGTCACGAGTAAAGCAAGCAGTGGCATTTTATTTTGTAGAAATGAGAAAGGGTAACACAAGTACAGATTATTTCACTCAATGCGCTGATTTTTAACTAAAGACAAAGTCAGTTAGTGATGGTTTCATCTCACACAAAGGATTTAAAAATAAAAATAGACTGTTTGTGTAGAATAGGGAATTTCAAAGAGAGCGACAATAAGAAAGATTCTGGCAGCGCAGCGGCACTGTCATGCAGAAAACGTGGTTTAAAATTGAATTGTGCTTCCCTTGACATCAGAGATCAGGTATATCATAAGGCTGACAGCTGGCTGGCACGCTAACTTCCTGAAGAAATATACTAACCGTATTCTTCCAGAGGCAAGAGGAATAAAATTATGGAAGCCTTGAAGGAAACTGAGCAGGCAGAGTACAAAATTATTCAAAACATGAAGAAAGGTATTTATTTCTTACCTAATTTTATTTCAGAAGACTCTAAGAATGAGCTGGTCTTCTCATCCCAAGCAGATAGAAAATTATTTCCTTATGAGTTGCTAGCAGAAATGTTCTCTTTTCCAAAATCTATAAGATAATTGGACAAAGCTCCATCACTGACACAGGGGGGGGGGGGAACACATTCAAAACACGAGCCATCTAGTCTGATAGCAAAGCTTCTATTTTGATATTGTGCCTATAGGTTTGAGCTCTGAATAAACTATATTGGAATACATAAAGACATCCTGATGGGCTACTGAAGAAAAGTTAATTAACACATAGGACCAGAGTGTAGGCACATGAAAACAGTGGCGCTTAGGGTAAAATATATTTAGAACTTTATTTTTTTATTTTTTAAAATATGTTTTCATTTTATAAACAATCTTATTTTACATATCAATCCCCCAATTCCCTCGACCTCCCATCCTCCCATGCCCCCCACTGATCCCCCAACCCACTCCCACCCACACTCTCTAAGGATAGTGAGGCCTTCCACAGAGGATCATCAAAGTCTGTCATATTTGTGGGAGGGCCTAGGCCCTCTTTCCTGAATCTGGGCTGCAATAGTATCCTTCCATAGGGAATGGACTTCCAAAAGTCCATTTGTGTACCAGGGATAAACACTGGCTGCACTGTTAGAGGTCCCATAGACTGCCCAGGCCTCCTAGCTGGCACCCACATTCAGAGGTCTTAGTTCAGCCAATGCTAGTTCCCTAGCTTTACGTCTAGGTCTGCCCTCACTAGGTCAGGTCAACTGTTTCTTGGGTTTCTCCAGCACAGTCTTGGCTCCTTTCCTCATCCCTCCTGCCCCTCTACAAATGGATTCCAGGAGTATCGATCAGTGTTTAGCTTTGGGTGCCTGCTTCTGCTTCAATCAGCCTCTGGGTGAAGGCTCTAGGATGGCAACCAAGGTAATCATCAATCTCATTATAGGGGAAGGGAGTCAAAGGCACCTTATAAAGAGAAAACTATGATACAAGGTGAACATCAGTACCATTAAATACTAGTTTCATACTATGGAACTTAAAACTCCGTATTGAGAAAAAAAATCAAAGCTTTAAAAGGGAAAGTATTAATGAAACACTCTGAATCTAGAATAACTATCAATAAACTGAAGGCATAATCTAGTCATTGCTACACATTCTAAATAAAGGCTGAGAAATAATTTCCCACATCCCTGCTTAAAAAGAAATGCTAAAGACAAGGACACTAAATGATAACTGAAGTACATAATAAAAGTACACACACACACACACACACACACACACACACACACACACACACGTTGGATATGGCACTGGCACAAAAATAGACATATAGACAAATGGAAAAAAACTGAAGACCAAACATGAGCACATAGGACTTCAGCCACTTAGTTTGGCAAAGAATTCAAAAACATAAGCTGGAGAAAAGAAAGCATCCTCACCATATGCTGCTGGGTAAACTGGATGTCCACATGCAGAAAAATGAAACTAGACTTGTATTTATCACCTTGCACCAAAACTAACCCCAAATGTATCAAAGATCTAGACCTGAAACCTGAAACACTGAAATTGCTAGAAGAAAGCATGGGCAGTGCCCTACAGGACACAGGTGTAGGAAAAGACTTTGTAACTAGGAGTCAATATGCCATGAGGTAGGGCTAACAATTGACAAGTGTGACTTCCTAAACCTAAAAAGCTTCTGCTCGGCTAAACAAACCAATTAAGTGAGGAGGAAGCCCACGGAGTGGGAGAGCTAGATATCTGACAGAGAATCAATATCCAGAATATATAAAGAATTCAAAACACATAGAATTAAAAAAAAAAATACCCCATCTGGAAAATGGACCTAGGATTTGAATACTGAATACGGAGTTCTCAAAAAGAGGAAGTGGAGGGGGAGGAGAAGAAAGCCATTGTCCATAGAAAACAGAGAACTACAAATCAAAACAACTTTAAGATTTCATCTTATCCTAGTCAGAATGGCAAAGATCAATGAAAGAGCTGAAAACAAATTCTCTCTCTCTCTCTCTCTTTATCTTTCTCTCTCTCTCTCTCTCTCTCTCTCTCTCTCTTTATCTTTCTCTCTCTCTCTCTCTCTCTCTCTCACACACACACACACACACAGGACAGGATGATTCTCATTCACTGTTGGTGGGATTGCAAACTGGTGCAGCCACTATGAAAATCAGTGTGGAGAATGGAGAATTCTCAAAAACCTAAACATAGGTCTGCCATATGACTCAGCTATAATACTTGTAGGCATGTGCCCAAAGCACTCAATACTCTATTCTACAAATACTTGGTCAGCCAAGTCCATTGCTATAGCTTAAAAATGGAAACAACCTAAAAGTCCTACGATAGACAAATCGATAATGAAAATGTGGAATACTATTCAGCTGTAAAGAATAAAGAAATAATTAACATTCCAAGTAAATATTGTAGAATATTAGTTAAAGATGTGTTATATTTGTTTATGCTGTGGAACATTTGTTTAACAATGCAAAGTTGTGTTGCATTCTTCTATGTTGCATTTACTTAATTCTGTGAAACTTTGCCTGTCTAAAACACCTGATTGGTCTAATAAAGAGCTGAATGTCAAATAACAAGGCAGAAGAAAGTATAATCTGGGCTGGCAGGCAAAGAGAATAAATACGAGGAGAAATTTGGGAGGGCAAGATCAAGTGCCAGCCACCCAATTACATTGCAAGCCATGGAGTAAGAAGTAAAGAAGGTATAAAGAGCTAGAGAAAGATAAAAACCCAGAGGCAAAAGATAGATGGGAAAATTTGAGTTAGAAAAGCTGGCAAGAAGCAAGCCCAAGCTAAGGCAGGGCATTGATAAGAAAAAATAAAACTCCATATGATTTATTTGAGAGCTGGGTGGGTGGGTTCCCAAAAGAGAAAAGAGCCAAAGAGTAAAAACAACCAACTACAAGTAAAAGGACAGAACTAGAAAAGATCATATTGAGGGAGGTAACCCAGACACAGAAAGAAAAACGTTGCATGTTCTCTGTTATTGGAGCCTCCTTGCTCCAAATCTTCAGATACAAACACAAAGCCTGTAGTAACTAAAGAAACTAGGAAAGTGAGACATGGACTTCATGGCTTGGCTCATGGTGCACTTTCTCCATTTTCTTCTTAACTATGAGGTTTAAACTTTGACACAGGCTCACTCAGAATTCTCCTTGTCTTACTTGTCTCACTTCTGAGACCCCTTACCACAACATTAAGTTCACCTGGATAACCCAGAACATAATCCTCTATGTGATGGAAATGGATGAGCAAGTTTAATTCCACTCGTACTAAATTCCTCTTTGCCATGTAACATAAAATAGTCCAGGTTCCAGGAAGAACCACATCCTACCTTCCAGGATATTCACTGGATTTTTTTCAGTATTACATTTGGAATAAATATTAATGCCAAGTTTACTTTACTTTAAAGTCCTTGATGTAGCAGTAAGAATTACTAATTTTGTCAATTAAACCTTTATATATCGTATTGACTATCCCAAAATCAACCAGATTAGGCTATCAATTTGTTAATTATGCTTCAAGGAAAACATCAGGCAATATTTGTTGTTAAAAATAAAATTCAACCTTATAAGCAGTAAGCTAGATTTTTAGAAAACGTGTATTTTAATAAGATGGCCTGTATTTCAAGATGTTGTTGATGAGTTTCCTCATGAAATGTATTAAAATTTAGAAGATCATTATACTTCACCGAATAAGATTGTTTTCTTAAAAAGCTACTTCATTATGGAACAGAATTGTATGTGAATGGAAGCTTTTATGTGCTCTGCCCTGTCCCACAGCAGCTTATAAAATAATCACTCTGAGGCTTAATATTAATTATAATTGTTTAGCCAATGGCTCAGGCATATTACTGACTAGCTCTCACAATTAAATTAACACATTTAGTTTATGTTTTACCACATGCTTGTGGTTTGTTACCTCACTTCTTGCTTCTCCAGCAGATCCATGATGTTTCCCTGACTCCAGTATCTTTCTCTATCTATCTTTGTATTTCCTGCCTGGCTCTATTCTGGCTGGCCACTAGCCAAATCAGTTTTATTTATCAACCAGTGAAAGCAACACATATTTGCAGCATATAGAAGGAAATCTCACATCAATCATATGCCTGTAAAATAGTCAAAGAATAAGACACAGCACAGAGTTCACAGTAACAATAGAAGCAGTGAACTCATATTGTCTCATGCTACACTAAGAAATGACCACTTGTTTGCTAAGTTTTGGTGTAGGGTCCATGCTAATAGTTACAATTAGCTGAGCAGAAGGTTGCATCTCGTGCACTCACTGCAGCCAAAGCCACATATAAAAGCATACTTTAAAAAAGGAGCAGACCTGAGATATAACTCTCTTCTATTATGGCAGACACAAAATACAAAAACAATGCAGCTATTTTATCATTTTTGTTTGTTTTGGAAAATACAGGTATTCTTTTACTGGGCATTACATTAATAGTGTGTTACTGAAATATGGTTTTTAAAATGTTTTAATTTATATTACAATAAATATCTAGATAAAGATCAGTAAATAAGAATTCAAAAGAGCCAGGCTCTGGAGGTCAACGCAAGAGTGCTACAAATGCAAGGTCAACTTAGACTACAGAGGCAGACCTTGTCTCAAAACAAAACAGGGCTGGAGAAATAGCTCAGTTAGTGAAGAGTCTGCCATAAAAGTATGAGGACCTGAGTTTAGAAAAAGATCCCCAGGTGAACAGTGATGACACATTTCTGTGATGTTGGGGATGCAGAGATAAGCATGTCCTTGGAGCTTGCAGGCCAGTTAGGTTAGCTAAATCAGTAAACTCCAGACTGGGTGGGTGGGTAGCACTGACCTCTGGCCTACACATCTGAAGACACACCCAAATGTATAGTTGCACAGTACACATACAGAGCTCCATTACAGACACATCTACACAACTCCCACAGCAAAACAACAATAATAACAAGAACCACCGCCACAACAAAAACCACTCTGAAGGTTTTCAGGAATTTGTTTCGTATTGTTTTTCGAGACAGGGTTTCTCTGTGTAGCTTTGGAGCCTATCCTGGCACTTGCTCTGGAGACCAAGCTGGCCATGAA